AGACTACGCCAGAAATCACACCGGTTATGGCCGAAGAGGAAAATTATTATCAAACCCCACGCAAATCTATTATAAGTATTGATGACAAAGTACCGTCCTATTATCCAAATAGTTGTGATACTGTAAAAATGCGCCGTCAAAGTCCCTTAAAGGACACACCTAATTCTAGTTCAAGTGAGGTAAGTGATAAATAATATAGTTAAGCGTAAAGGCGAACACCTAATATTATTGTAAATTTCAGAAATCTGCCAATGGGCTTAGCTTACGCCATTTAGTCAATATGAAATTGCATCGCGAACGCAAGGAAAACCTTTACATATCTTCGCCTCAGAAAATAATTGAACAACGACAAAAACCAATAACAAACATATCACCTGTGACTTCACTAAAACAGAAATCGAATAAAACTCAGAAGCCGAAAAAGACTGGTGTACACAAATTATCGGAAAATGTTTATACAGTGAAGCATACCAGCAGAAAATTGATTAGTAATAATAATAACGATGAGGCAAATGAGGCAAATGGTTTGACGGAAGAAATGAAAGAGAAATTGCAGTATGAACTTCTACATTTGGCTATGCTGCAGAACATTGATTTCAAATTTGATGATGGCATTTCGCAAGCAATTCAAACTCCAACAACAACTACATGTGCCAAACAGAAACCAGATCAGGAGTCTGAAAATTATTCGCAGTCCATAAATAAAGTTTCGGACTTTGTTAAAAAATGTGTTACACCTACGGGCACAAATACACCAACTCAGACCGCACAACATTGTTTACAGCAGAGCCAGGAATCGAATACGAAAAATCATACTCCCAACAGAAACACTGAAGCCACTGCAGATATTATGACACAATCAAAAGTCGAGAGCTCCAGTAGTGACTTGCATTTCAGTGCTATGAGAAAATTCGCTTCACTGCCGCGTTTCAAGAAGATTGATTTGTCTCCACTGAAGCTTAAAATCAATAACGTCTTGCAGCGAAGTCAGCATCACGAGTTCTGATTTTTAATAGTTCTAGGCTTCGGCTTTAAGTTTCACGTATTTAGTGTAAGTAAAATGAATTTTTAAATAATTTGCCATAATATTTGATATACGCTCTTGCTTAAAGCTAATTTAATCGTTTATCTTTAATCCTCACACTCTATGTATCCATCATTCGTATTATTTGTATTATTTTAGTATTTTCATTGAATTTAACTGAAACTATATTTAAATAATTTTTAATTTTTCAATCTTTAAATTTGTGAAAAAACTATTAATCATTCAGTCTTTTGGTTTAATTATCGCCTTTTTAAATGTACATTTATATTCATTTTTCCTTTATATAATTCTCTTATAAATTATATTTTTCATTCTTTAATTAAATACTTTTGATTTATTTAGTTCTTTAGTAAGATTTAATTTATTTGCATTATATTACTTATAATAAAATAATATTTATCCATTAAAAAATATTACAATAATCGAAATCTCTGACAAGTTATAAGTTATTTCATAAAAATTTATTAATTTAGCACTCTTAAAATTATTTATCTGCTATTGCCAGAAAATAGATCAAAATAGATTACTTATAGATTACAGAGGACTTTTTAACATTTTGAACTTGTAATAGGCTAGAATCCCTAGAAAGTCTATCACGCTGAAAATAGAACAAATAAACAATTAAATAGCAATTAAAGAGGTGGATCGTAATGAATAATAATTAAAAATAGCGATTGTATGAATTTGGTTTGTTCGGATTCTATATCGCAGAAGAATTCCATTAATCTTTGAGAATGAATACAACATAAGGAGTGATAATGAAACATTATCATTGTATTACAAAATACAAGAAATGAGAATTAATTTCAGTGAATAAATGAGAAGATTAAAGCAATTGAAAGAATGCAGAAGTTAGAAATCGCAATTGTAGCTACTGGTGTAGTCCACCTACTAGTGTACAAGTGGCACTTATTGACCTATTGAATTGGACATATTTCTTCATCTCGATCTAGGTTAGTTTCAATCAACATCTAACCACATACTTCCTCCATCACACACAAGTCTTCTTTTCGTTTACGTTCACCCATATTCATGCTAACCCATATATTCGTCTTTAGTTGCACCCATATTTCCTGCTATATTAATCTCCATAGTCTACAATGACAACAACAATGTCGGAATAATAGAGGTGATACCTATTCTTTTTTAGTTTCTTATTGAAGGTGCAAAAGCTTAATTCAGTTCATAGTGTAGAGGTAAGTGTTGGTCATGATTGTATATGTTGATGCCACTATAACCGGATGTGAAGCGAAATAGTATTACGAGTGTTGACAGACTTGTTCTCAATTAGCAATTTACACGACAATGTTACACTGCGTTTAAGTCATCAAGTGTTTATCTCTAATCAAAATTTTTATAATCTCAAAATTAAGTATTGAAGAAACAAAGATGGTGCATGTGACAAAAACTTAGTACGTATTAATATCTCTAACAAATAGTTAGAATAGGATGCAAAAAAACAATACATTGTGAAATAACTAATTTCCTATTGTAAAGTCTACCACAAGGTCGTCGATACTAATTGTACTTATGGAGCAGAAATTTTAGTAGCAAAGGACAAACAGCTTAGCAAAGTTACAGTAAAAATAAAGTGTTTGAAGAATTGTGGAAACAACTAAAGGAGACAGAGTAAGATTCCCTGCCTATACGAACTACAGCAAATCAAACATAAACTTAAGTGGTTCGGTCATGTGTCAGGAATCGGACAGTTGAGAATTTCCAAATGCTCTCTAAAAACAAAGCTGTAGAGAGGCCGAGGTTAACATTTGAGGACAAAGTTTTAGAGATAGTGTAAAGAGAAATCTCTAAAAAAATTTAAAAATAGTCTAAGAGAATCTTTAAGAAAAGAAGAGTTCTTACGAGATCAACACGCTGCACGTTGCAACGGGTAGAAAGGGTTTGATAAAGAAGTGGATTAATGATATTATTGAACATGAAAAATGTCTTAAATCAGGTATCGTACTTAGTCAGGTAAGCATGACTTCTTGGGGTGTGTGTGGATATTGGGATATCTGTACAGACCGTGTACAGAGTGTGCTTTATTGTGAATGTAATCTTAATAAACCTTATTATGTGAGCAACAGTAAAGCACTTAGACATTTCGTTCTATGCGAACTTCATATAATATATTTTCTATTGAAAATATTTGGAAGAGGAAATGTCTTTCAATCCAGCAGTGTGCGATGAAATGGAATTTTTCTTTAAGTACATATAATTTTACTAATTTATCATGTTATATCACGTTTTAATTGTAATTATTTTAATTATTTTTAATGTAATTAATTTAAATAAATAAGAGTGCATTTTTATCATTTAAAATAGAGATTTGATCAGATGGAACTGAAATTAACATTAAAAAAATTGATAATTGAATTGATATATCATTTTAATTATTAAGTGAACGGATTTAAATTGGTCAAAACTAAAATGGTGATTATTTTGATTAACGCATTTAATTTTTTTATGTATATTACAAATAACTTTTCATATCATTTTTCGTAGTATTTACGGACTTATTGTAATGTTTAATTCATAGATTTCATTATAGCCGCATATCTATAGCTCTCATATGATCGCTTAGCAATTACAGCTGTCTGCTGCTAAATAAAAAAATTTGCTTTAAATTAACATTTAATTATGAATAAATGAATAATATTTTGAACCCATATCGAATAGCTTGGCTTAAGTAAAATATTGATTAGAAATCAATTATATTAATTGTATTAGAAAATAACTATATTATGTGGTTTTAACATAATGAAACAAAATTGAATACATATATATATATATACATATACATATAGATGTAATTGCTTATAAAAGAATATTATTTTAAGAATGTAATTATTAAGTTTAGCTGTTTGTGTGTGAGAAATGTGAATTTTATATATTACTATATATAGATAGAAAAACTTAAATACAAAGATATTTGGACTTCTCTATATGGATGGTATATTCAAATATACCATTCAAATGGTTTTATTAAATATTTTTTTTATGTTCACCACCGATTAAAATTAAAAAAGGTTTTGTTTAAAAACATAAACATAATAATTAAATATATTTATGATTTGATATGTTTACCAATGACTAAAAGTGAAATAAATTTTTAATAAAAGCAATAAACAATATATGCAAATTTGAAGATGAAATAAAATAAAATAAATGCGAAATTCTTCTTATATTTTGTAAAAGTATCTTGCTTTGCTTATTTTTAAATATAACATTAAAGTCTTAAGTATAAAATTAATAATATAATTATGTGTCTGCCATTGCTTCAATAAAAATGTTAAATATAATTGTTAACTTCGAAAAATGCTCAATTATATTGAATAATTTATTTAAAAATTGAATTGTTAACTTGTTTTTACTATAAGATAAATGAAAGTTGTGAATTCTTATATACATTAATGTACTGAATATAGTTTTTTAAGTTTAAGAAGTTTTTTTTTAAATACTACATATCAAATGAACAAATCACAAATAATTTAAATAAATGATGTTAATTAATATATTAAATATTAAATATATTAATATATTAAACGCGAATAAAATATTGAATTGCTCAAACGCTTCACAATTGTACAAGTTCAAAGTTAAATATTTCTAATTTTATATAAACTTAATTTTATAGGAACTTATATACATTTTTAAAACAAACAATAATATTATTGCATATACAATACAATGTATTGCAGCTTAAGATAGAATAAATATTATACTACATGCATTTTACATTTTGAAATAAATGCTTTTGCTTTTTTATAAAAGGCAAATTAAAACAAATGTTGGAATCTTTTAATTTTTCCTTTATTTTAACTAATCAAAAATATACAATATTTAAATATTTTATATTAAATAATTTGTCAAAGAAATATATATTTGAATTTATAAATTAACTAGTAACTTTTTTCTTTATATTTACAAGACATTTAGTTTATTTATTATACGATATAGTATATAATATTTATTTAGTTGAATGCATTTATATTATTAATTAAGCTTTAAAAAAGTTCATAAGTTTATCAATATAGTAAAAGTCAAGCTGATCAAGCTTACGTCAGTGCCAATGGACGTCTTTGTTGATATAAGAATTCCTGTTCTGCACGCGAGTTTATGGGTACTACGTAGAATAGGAGAGAACCACCAGTAATAAAGAAACTGAAAAATACAGTGAGTATTAAAAAATATTAATATATATTATTAAATGAAAAAGAAGAGACAACAGTTTACAACAATGATGAGAAAACATTGGTTATAAGTGTCGAACTAGATGAAACGATGAGCTGCATGAGTTATATCAAGTCTTCCCATAGACAAGCGTACAAAATTTTAGTGGCTTTGCTGGTATCGTTATGGAATATAAATAGATAAAAAAAATTCTGGTAAAAAATGTGTTCGGTTCGGTACCTGCTGGTGAAAAACGTTGTAGAGGACGTCCAACTCTTCAATTGAACGACCACGTGCCAAACGATACAACCTACTGGCGACAGCAAGCCACTGATTGGGCTGGCTTCAGAAGACAACAATAAACGTCTCATGTCTGTAGTAGCCAACTATATCAGTACGTAACTTAGACGAAGATAATTAATTTTTTAGATTCATGAGGTCCTATTAACTATTTGCGGCAGTAGAGAATTAAAAAAAAAACTTTATGAGCATAGTTATTGTTAATAAGATGACAGTTCTGTTTCTCATAAGACTCATACACAATGTTGCTAAATTGGGATCTCACAATAGATAACCCTTTATATAGGGATTATATAATGTGTTTTCAATACAACAATAAATAAAACAGAATAAATGCTTTTTCAAATGAACTTATTTCTTTAAAGATGAGCAACCAACAGGTTACTTGGAAGTACAATAAGGCAGCCGTTAAAAAGCTCTTGATTTTTTTTTTTGGTATGCAATGAATAATATTAGATAATTAGGTAGTGTTGCGAGTTACACAACAGACAAAGCTATTGAAAAGCATCATAAAATTAAATTTTTATTTACCCCCAAGAGGTTGTGATTTAGGATTGTAGCTATTTTATTTCAAGAAACTCAGAAAGTATATGAATAATGAATAAAACGAAGTTCTATGTCACGGTAGGTCTGACAGAAGAATAGTCTCCATTATTGATATATTTGTTTACCTGTTTTCATTGATGATCTCTTTTATCGACTTATTTAGATCAACTTTATGTACTCGTCCGGCTAACCGATTTTCATAGTAAACGTTTATACTATCAGGTTGATAATTTTTTGCTGTATCCCAAGGTAAAGGTTCGTTAAACAATGTATAAATACAATCTTGCATACTGCAAATAAATGAAAATACTTATAATAGCTGGATATTTAAAAAATATATATATATATATAAACACAAACATATAATTTAATATTTACTTAAAAACTGTAAAATATAAATGGCTTTAGTTATACTTTGTATAATTAATTAAGTAAGTTGCAAAATTCTTCGTTGCCAGAGCGTAAATATTTAGTGCTTTACATAAATATATAAGAATCTATCTCAATACAGTACGGTAATAAATAATTAAAGTATTTGCTTCCCAATAGCGATTTGAGTAGCTATGGTTTCTTACTTTAAAATTAACATTTATGTCTGCATTAACTCACATAACTTTTTCTGAAAGTTCCTGTTGAAAGTCACTGTATAAAAATTCTGGGTATGAAAATGAAGTAGGCCATATAAGTGTCTCATTATCTTCGTCGAGGTGTACTGGAAATTCTTCTAACGGCAGGAATTTGGGTTGTAACAATTCTTTTGTTATAGGTTTACCCTTTGGTTGGTCGTCAAATTTAATAGCACGCTCTTCAAGGACAGAAATTAAATGTTGAAATTTGGTCAATATTTTCTTTTTCTCCGCCAACTCTTTTCGCTGATTTCGTTCTATTTCCATCTTCGGTTAAAAAATAATTAAATGAATTTAAATGCTAAAACTACATCTTTTTTCAAACTAACTTTTTTAGCTTTGTTCTTCTTCAGCAGTTCTTTGGCATTTGTATCGTCCAAATTTATTTCCAATAAAGATTCACACAACTCTTGGCATTGATCAAATTTTTCAAGTTCATAAGCACATTGGGCAGCACGCCAGCGCGCTTTTGTATAGTCCGGTTTGTTTTTCAAAGCAAGCTGGGCATCGAGTAATGCAGATCTAAAAAAGTGTTAAATCATTGTAAACAAAATGTTAATTTATCTTTTCGCAACCGCTTTACCTATAATTTTTTAAAAAATATTGAGCAGCTGAACGATTGTTATAGAGAGCAGCTTGTACCTCGGGTTTGTCGCATTTAATTTTAAGCCCCTCCGTGTAACTATAAACTGCCATACGAAATTTCTTATGCTTCATATAGAAATTGCCATCTTCTTTATAGTTAGAAGCTAAATCCTCTTTTGTATTTTCTTCGGGATCATACTTTAATTTTTGTAGTCCTTCGAACATTGGATGCACTTCATCTCCTGGTTGTGGCGCAGTCTTCATGAAAAATGGATGTTTTTCCATTTCCTGTATTGATAATAATAATTACTATTAAAGACAAATAAAGAATGAAGTATAGTTATTTCGCACCTCTTGCCAACGATCTTCAGGCCAACCTAAATATAAATATATAATTGTAAAGTTAAAATGCAATAATTTGTATAAATTGTAGTTGCTTACCTTCTTCATAACGCTTTTTTTCCAAACTATCAATGAATTCATCAAGTTCAGCATCTAATTTAGCTGCCAAAGCCAAACGTTCCTCCTCTGTCCATGTTTTATTTGACGAAAGCTGCGATGATTCCATTATTACTTTGTTTACAATGGAGCCCTAAATCGCCTTTTCGATTAGAAAACTAAACAAACTGCACGATGTTGTTGGTGTCAGCTGTCAAATTAATATAATGTGCGCGCATAGGGATGCCAGCCCTCGCTTATTTTTACAATATTTTGGTAATACATAAATATGCTAAATGAACATTTTTTATTAGAAATGCAAATAAAATATATTTTAATTTCAGTAGTTTAGGTATATAAAGACATATTGTATTAATAGTAACAAACTAACTACGAATAGTGACTATAGATAATAGATAATTGATATTATATCGGTGCTTGTAACGATAGTAAGTATAAGAAATACACACAACAACTGTGTAATTCAAAACTTTATGATAACATGCGAGTCACCTCATTAACGCACATTCACACTGTCTCATCTAATGTTGATTTACCATATAAAAATCTCTCATATAAATGAGTTCATTATCAATAAATTAGCTAATTAAAAGCCCGAGTTTAATGTGTCAAGTATGGTCGACTTACATGCAAAATTTCATTCATTTTAAGTGATGGAAGCAAGAATATCGTTTTGATGTATAATAGCAAGTGATAAGACAAAAATGTCGAATGCAATTTTGCAAATTTAAAATATGTGTCATATGTTTTATACATAAAATGTACATAAACAACAGTTGAGCTGTAAACAAAGGCACTGAGGAAGTAAGTATTTAATGAAATCTTTATTTTCATTAATTGAATATGTAATTGATATGTATATAAAATGTATATAAATGATTTAATATATCAATTATATATTTCATTTTTATATGTGGTATGGTATTAAGTGAAGTTTGTAAAAATTCTATTAACTGCATAATTGAGCTTATTAAAGTCATACCATTATTACTCATTAATATAAATGAGCAAGTGCCTAAATGAGACAGTGTAAATGTATTATTAAAAGCAATTTAGATGCTCTTAAAATTCCATCAAATTTTTATTTAAATACATTTGAAAGAAGTTTATTTAAAGTGTTTTTACCTTTAATTCAATGTTAATTATAGTAAGAATATTTGCTATTAAGCACAACGCATATATCTTGAATGTAGTTCTAAAGTTCAAGTGACAATCAACCTTAAAGGTAGTATTAATTATTAAATGGAAACATGTTAAAAATGAATTCAAAGTTGATCTGTTTTATGGCTTCAAAAAGATGTTGACAAATGTTTTAGGAAATAAATATAGTATACAATGTTTGCCTAACTATCTAAAGTCTGATAAAATCTGATATGTATTGGTGAACTCTCTAAAGTATTCTTTATAAATTTTTATTTCATAAAGTATAAATTATATTACATAAATGTTTAAATTAAAAAAACACAAACAAGCTATTACCTTGTGTACAAATACATTTTAAATAAAAAGAAAGTCTTTTCTATTTGGGGGTTGAATTTTAATTTTATTTAAAAAAAATAGGAAAGTTATACTATGAAAATAACTAATTATTAAGTTTTCTCTACTTCAACGTAGTACTCCTTTTTATTCACTTGGATTTCGATTTTTCTGTTATCTTTAAAGTAAAGGAAATCACTTAATAGTCATTTTCACTCTAAACTTCATCACTTACCTTCGGAGTGGTTCCAATGAAACTATTAACTATTTCAGCGATTGGATATTCAAAAACTATTGCTACAATCGTAGCAACCATATTACTGATTGAAATTGTTAGAAAAAAGTAAAGTGGCTATAAGAAAAAATAACACTAAAAGTTAAAAAATAAAAATAATCAAAAAAAAATGAAATGTTCCATAGTCATACAATAGTCAAATTGTTAACATCAGCGGGCTGTTTGTGAAGGCTCATAATAATGCGTAGAACTGCGGCATGCCACAAGTATACTGGATATGATATCCTAGCATTCTTCAGCATTGAGTTTGATGATAATATATTTCGGATGAATCCTTAAAAGAAGTCAAAATACAGAAAAATGTATTCACCTTTAAAGTTTAAAGTGATAAGCTGATCTACATACCACCCAATTTCATACTAAAAGCCAAAATCACTATACAACCGAAGAAAAAGATTATGTTTTTGTTAAACATCGCCATTAAAACGCCTATAGTATAATTTTCGGAATTGTAGTTAATATTTAAAAATCCATAAAACATCATAAAACTGATCCAACAGCCGAGTTCATATTTGAAAACTCCTTTATAAGACCGACGTTTGATATTGGCTTTTAGTTTCAGATATATTTCAGCCGTTATTATACTAAGTAGGCAGATGTCTATTTTTGTTAGAGGGGTCATGCCTATATTTTCAATATCATTTGCTTTGGTCATAAACATAATCTGATAATATCTGTATCAAAAATGATTAAAAATTATTATTAAAAAACAAAAACAAAATGTTATTGAACCATCATACATACAACATAAGGAATCCAGCGTGATATTGAATTTTATATATAATCAATAAAATCGCAGGGTAGAGTAGAGAAAAAAGAAACAAGATACCATATATGAGCTTCTTAAAATGTGGTTTTCTAAAATTGAAATATAATTAATCTCAATTCTATTGGAATAGTCAGTGAATTATTAACTTCGCAATAATAATTAAGACAATGAGGAAAATTATAAATATTTGCATATCGGCGGCCAGATACCAAGTGATTGGCATTGTCTGTAATAAAAAGGCAGATAATATAAAAATCTCGTATTTGACCAATGCTTACACTATCAATCAACGACCAGTTATTAATGAATAACAAATTTTTCCACCAATTAATACGCGCAAACTTATGATCTTGACCAGTGAGATGTTTCCAAGTTGGAGAATCTATTTGATTTCCATAAAATGAGGCATTGTATAGAATTATTAATGCATATCCCGGTACAAGTCTGTAAAATTGGAGATATGTAAAATAATTAAATATTTCTTTTAACTGGTTTATGAGATGTTTTTGCAAACTTAAAAATATAATTGGAGATTCGAAAAACGCAATTTCAGAAATTAGTAGGCAGAAATTTACTTCGGGAAGGGCAGATTTCAGATTTCATGCTAGATCGGCCACAGTTTTATTTACGAATTATGTTATGATGCATAAACAACGTATAGACATATGTATACATACAGTCCCTCCGAATGTAATGCAGTTTCTTACGGGGCATGGCTGCTTCCGTGAATACTTATACCGGTTCAGGCTTGCAAGTAATCCGTACTGCCAGTTTTGTCCAGATAAAATTGAGAGCTCCGTTCATATAATTAGAGACTGTATAAGATTCGTAGATACTAGACAAAATCTAGAGACTATAATTGGGGAAGCCAGCCCTCCTACTGTAGTAATGCAGATTTTGGCAAGCATTGAAGAATGGAGCCTCTACAAGAGCATAATATCTAGAACAATAAACACTGTTAGAGCGGACGCAATACTTAGTACACAATCGGAGTGAAAGCACGCTAAGTACTCTTCTAACCTGCCCTGTGAAGGAATACCTTAATTGGTCGTATTGGGATTTACAGGAGTTTGAGCTGAGAATGTAGGGGACTTTTTAGTCCGTAGGCATGTATGACTTAATGGGGTCGTGCATGAATCGGGCATGCAAATGGTACGGGCCATTTGTATCTTTGGAAGATTTTTCCCTCAGGTTCGATACAAAAAAAAAAAAAAAAATCCCCCCGAATGATTTCGGGAAAGAGTTCAGCCCATCGTGCTGGCCTTGGGTAAGTGAATATAACTGAACACATTTAATTTCAAGTCAAAATTTTACTCTAGCAAAATGAAGAATATTCTGCTCGAAACATAAATCGTGTTTGTGAAGAAGTCATTTTGGAATAGTTACATATTAAGGATAGCATGAATTTTTTTTTTCTGAAAAGTATCAACATTTTTATATCCAAAATTTTACTTTCTATTATATTCTTCTATATTCTATACTTCTATGAAGTAAACATACAACTGTGGCAACAAATGTTTCTTACTGAGTTATTTTTTCACCTTATTCTACTCTGATAGAAAAGGTTTACTTTTACTTTAAAAATTTTGATTAAATAGAATTTTTCCACAGGTTGGTGAAGTTAGTTTTATGTCTACTATTTATCATAATCCTTTTTAAACGCTCAAGTCGTCGAAAACGTATAAATTTATATGATAATCAGTGGAACTATTTATGAGCTGAGTCGCACCAAATTTTTTGAACACTTGGAATAAAAAATGATAAAAACTTTATTCACTGTTTAACCATATTATTGTATTGAAGGGTGATAAAATATCCTCCATTTTCCAAGAAAATATGATCTCATCTTTAAAAGAAAATAAAAAAATACATGTTTGCCTAGTTAGGGTAATAATTCTGTGAGTATGAAAATGTTTTAGAAATTGCAAATGTTTTCTTACCTTAAATAGCGATAAATTAGAAATTTCCAAAATACACCGACACAACTTCTCCAACTACTTTTTGGAGTTATAGGGCTCTTCTTCTCAAAACTTATTTTTAATAAAAATGTGCTCATTAAGAAAAACATGCCATTAACTATTCTGCCACAGTTAGCCGAAAATGAAGTAAAATTATTTAATTGATACGTTTCGAAAAAAATTTCATTTGTACTGCCCCTAGTTATTAGACCCATAACAATATGCGCATGAATAACCAAGGTATTAAACACCGTTCTAATACCATTTAAAAAATTCAAGTCATCATCTGTACCCCTAGTATTGCTATGGAGTTTAAGGTAGTTTCTTTTAAGTGAGAAGGCAGTTAACAGTCTGTCCTCTAAAATAATTTTGTAAATAAAATATAATGAACTTATAAACTGATCGATATTTTTTTATGAACCTTACTTTTTGTTATAAATTTAGTCGTAAAAAATGCATTTCCGTTGTCTTGAGTTGCACTGAACTTCAAGTAGTAATCATAACCAGTGGAAAAAATGCAGAGACATACAATAGATGCCAGGATTATTAGAAAAATAAAATGGGCGGTGTCTGAAATGAGTGAACTATTAACGTAATGAGGATATTGTAATAATAGTATTACCCCATAATTGTTCTTTGCTACTGTCTATACAATATTCAATATTGGAGCGCAGCTTTA